TTTGTTTGCCTTAGTATTGTAAGATTTGTATTGTTGTTAGTGCTTGGCTGTTATTGGCCTTTTCGGCTGTTGTCAAGCACTTTAATAAATTAATTCAATTGAATTGAATTCTAATTGCTATAAAGACTTCATTTCAGATTCTTTGTTTTTTAATCGATACTTCTAGAATATTTCATATCCATCTGTTGTTTGTTTCTTGTTGTAAGGAGCCATGTTTTGAAGTTAAATGTTTTAATTGGCTTAATGTAGTAAGATTATTATTTATATCTTTATTATCTTACAAAACTAACCAACTTTTTATAGTTGATACAGCGCCATTAAATACTCAGTCAATCATCAACTCGGACACTTAAGTTGTGATTAGAGAATGAAGCAGTTCAGTGAATTTCATTTACCTTGCAACTAATCTCTGTCGAAGATCAAACGAAGTAATTGCTAATTGTTGCGTTCTGCTAGTCTTTCGCCCTTCAGTTCAACTGTTACTCCACAGAGTGTCATTAAACCGATGGCGCACTAAACATGTACTGCATACTGTGATTTCCACTGAGCAACAAATATATTCTTTAAATATTTTAAATTTTTTTGCGGCAGCATAAGATGATAAACATCTCTCGGACCATTAGTCGCATCGATTAGGAGCAGAAGTCCAATGTTTCGGAGACAGAGAAAGTCTCTGGGATCACGGACTTCATTCGTAATCGATACGTCCGATATTATGACAGAATGTCATCACGTATATTATTTTATTGTTTTCAGTGAATATTCTCCTTTAATTACTCTCTTTACGTATCAGTATCCTCATTTTCAATAGAGCCGGTTTAGAGACATCACGAAACAATAACTAAAAGATAACTGAATTTCTCTTTCAGTTAATTATTCATTAATTCTAGAAAATCATTCAACCTGTGAAATTTCTCGCCTTTTTGTGTCGAAGATTCACTGCAGTGTTTACAAGAGGAAATCGTAAAAGAATAGAAACAATTTAATATTAGAATAGTATTTTGAGATAATAGTTACTGGGTGTTTACAAATTTACACAGAATCAATTTAAAAATGATAAGCTTCAGATTGCTTCCTTCGTTATTTCTGAGTCAAAATCATTTATTTCTTTCAGAACAATGTTACCTGAGTCTATATCAACGCTATTAAATGTAGAGTAAGGAATGATAAGTCTGAGGTTGAATAAATATATAAGTAATTACTTAACAAAGTACGAGGAACAGGATCTTTACTAAACAGCTTATAGTCATTGAATTGGCCAAAGAAATAATCTGATTTTATTTAACTCAAATACTGATTTCCGTAGCTCACTAAAAGACCTCATATACAGCCAGTTCAATCAATTTTAAAACTATATCCCTTTAAGAATTATATTAATATAATTCTATAAATTGTCATTCTCCTGACTTTTAAAAATAAATATTATGTACGTATTTATATTTCTGTATATTTCTTCAGAAATTCTCTAAATTTCTCTGACTTTCCTAACATAAAACATCTATCTTACCTTTCTGGAGACAAAAACAATACTTTCAAAAGTATCGACTCTTTTGAGAAGTCGAGCATAAAATCATTCAGTGAACGAAATACTTCATTAGAAATCGCTAGAAGAACGAAATAAAATCACGATTTTCTTGTACCTTCCCTGTTTTTCTGGCCAAGGCCGCTAGTGCAAGAGTGCATTGCCTAATTATTTTTTGTTGCAGGTGGAATCTGCCTTCGGATCGGTGGGATTGAAACAAACTTTCTCTTTCCTGATCAATACACCTGATTCTCTAAAACCGGTAACAAACACAGGCTAACAGTTTAAACCTTGAACAATCACAAAGAGAATATTACGTACCACGTCACCTTAGAGTATAATGTACATTACAATGTATTCGGGACTGTAATGAGGAAGATGGTGAACATGTGAACCATTAAATGATAGAAAAGCATGGCCTATGATTTTCATGTTGGACCATAATAGTCTAATCGCAGTGTCGTCTAGCGTTAATGTTTTATTTCTTGGTTTATTTAACAACGTTTCAACAGATGATCGTATTATATAGTCAATATGAGTAATCAGAGGATGATTATGAATATTAATTGATAATAGTGTGGGTAGGAGTGTCGATCATTTGACTGGATGGTCAAGATATTTTGAAATGGATTTTATTGGCTCTACATACGATCCAATAATGTTTCGCGGTGATGGTGATGAACATGCGTTTCCATAACAACAGATAACTACATTATAATCGAATGCTAAGGGAGGACTTAATAGTGATTATATCTTAAAAATGCTGGAACAACACTTTAAACTGTGTCAATACTGCCCCTGTTTTAAAATTCATATGAATTCATAAGATTAAATTCAAGCTAGTGAAAGTAAACTTACTTCTGAAATCTCCGACATTCACACAAATGCTATTATTTGTTGTTCATTTTGCATCCACCTCTTACATAAATTTTATTCTGTGTTACTTGCCCTTTAAATTCCAAAATCTTATCGCCAGAGTAGTCAATAAATTGACAGCAATGTCTTTAGAGTTCTTTCTACTAATGAGATTTTGCATGCTAATAGCCTGTACAAAACAAAACCACATCGTAAGTCAAAAACATTTATCTCCTCATTTATTTAACCTGCCCAGCTTGAAACTACAGGTTTAGCCTCTCTTACTAAGCATTAACAGCTTGTCGTTCTAAAGAGTTGCTATATCTTCAAATAGCAATGTTAAAATGATACTTTTATCATTAGGGATAAATCAACCCACGTTCTAAGTTATTTTTAACAGAACTGAGATGTACGATGGAAGTAAAGTAAAACACGTACATTAAGAAGTAATGTACAGTCCTTGTGTTGAAGCATGTTAAAGTATGTAGAACACAAATATTGCATCTCGTTTTGAAGTGCAATTCTGTTCGTATGATACGGAGTTCAGTTAAAACGTGTCTGGGTCATTTTATGTGTTAACAAGTTGTCACTTGAAATTTATAGCTGCTTGTATTTTTCTCAAACTACATAGATATGAGTAGTTTTTATACATAACAACATTTGAAACGTGAAATATACAGAGTCCTTCACAGCTGCATGCCAAAAGTATATCTACGTATTATATCCTAAACAGGAAAGCAATGTATATATGCCTATATAGGACTTAATGACTTAGTTATGAAAGTACCCGATCTCATTTTAAGAAACTGTGTAATACTAACAACCAATAAGAAGACTTCTTATTTTGATAAACTAATGGGATTTGTAGCCTGTAGGCACGCTGAACGCTACGGGGCATTGCACATTACAAAGGCAAAAATACACGGGAATAGCTGTGGATTGTGTACATCGTGTTGAACATGCCGTGTTGGATGTAAAGCTTGCAATGAAAACAATGATGACCATAATCAACAATTAATGCACTTATCTGTGACTATTATACATTACTAAATTATTAAATATGCCTAGGCTTTTCTTAACTACCTATTTTAAGCTGTAGGAAAATTGAGGCAGTTAGATCCCATGAGACTAGCGCTTACTTACTGCACGCACAAAAATACCAGAATTCATTAACGAGTCGTGAAGAGATTGTCCCAACAGAACACAGTAGGCTACCGGAGGTGAATGTAGCTCGATGGCGTGCGTCCTATTTTCCTCGATTAGGCGATAATAAAATAAACTAATGGATTTTTGCGGTCAGTGATCATAGGTGGTAATTGCTTGTTGACGGGAGTCGTGTAGTTTCATTAAAGCGTTGCTACTTTCAGCTACGTGCAACCAGGAATACAAACAAAAATGAAGATAACTTACAACCAATAACAGCTAATTCAGAGCAAAATATTTCTAGAGAAGCGAAGAGTCATTCAGATATTTAAGACGTTCACCGCCTTTTATGTAATTAAAATGCTCATTACCGTGTTCACTGGAGCCCGCCACTGGGTTCTATCCCACCAGTCTATATAGTCAGATCTTTTTCTGTAAGATTATTATTATCCCATCTATTCACCACTTTATGGGGTATGTACTTCCACGTACCCGAGACAGACCTTGTCCCTAAGGTATAAAGTACAGCAGCTATTTCCGGAATACATGTTGTTTTTAACACGTGCTACATGTATTATATAATTTTATTTTACGACAGCGTCTTTCGAATGATGTATGAAGATTGTTGTTATTATTTTTGTTATTATTATTGTTATTGTATATTTTTGTGCTGACTGCAGTTGGCTCCTGCAGCTGACTCATCGCATTAAAATAAAAAATAAAATGAATTATTATTATTATTATCATCATCATGATCATCCTTCTGTCTACGTCAGTCTCCCATGTGGGCTATTCTTGTTAGGTTTGTCGACTAAAATGTTGTGTGTACTTCTCACATATCCCATCTCTGCCTGGCATACATTCTTCTTTAATTCATCATCCTAATAATAACTGGTGACGATTATACATTCTAAAATTTATCATTACGCAGTTATTTTTATCCTCTCCCAGGTCAAAAATGCCATAAGGTCTCAATACCAAGCCTGTATTATGTTATTTCACGCTATAATTCTACGTTAACTGTAAAAGATAAGTCAAGTACAGACTATTCATTTATTTGTCAAAGCTAAATTATGGTCTTACGTGTTACGTCTTTAGAGATTTTAGGCTATTACAAGTTTCCGCAAACGTGTCAATGGAATTGTTTTTGTGTGGTGATGCGCTTCAGTGTAGACGCTAATGAGACAAAGGTTTGTTTGTTAGCTTTGTGTTGTCGGACGAGAAGGCATGCTTGCTATGTCACGGTTTTCAGTTCCACTCTTTGTCACGTAATGCATGACTCCTGTGGTAATGTGAGGACAAAATTAACGCCAAGTGTAATTTATTACTTTTTGAAAATATCTGTAAAATGGGTGCTATGTCCAAAACTTATTTGGACCTACGAGAGAGGAAGAAATAGGAGGGTGCAGAAGAATTCTTAGTGAAGAGCTTAATTTTTCGTAATTTTTACAAAATAATACTAAGGTGTTTAAAACAAGGATTATGTGATGGGCGTAGCACTTAACGCATGTCAGATATTAGAAATGCATATGACATTTGTCGTAAACTGGAAGACAATATACTACTTGGAAGAACTTGTCATCAATGGGAGAATAATTTTGAAATATATCTTAAAGAAACAGGGAGTGAATATGTGAACTAGATTTAACTGGCTTAATATAGACTCCTAGACATAGTAATGGACATTCGAGGCTTAAAAAGGTTCTACATATCTTGATTGGTTGATTGACTGTTAGACTATACGCTAATCATAAAGAACTTTCCTCCATAAAGTTACTAATTAGATTGCTGTGTCATTATAAGGCAAATAATAGAATTTGGGTGTATGAGACAAAATACTAAAGAAAGAAATTGGACTTAAGAGGGAGGAAGTAACAGAAGACTAAATAAAATTACACAATGATAAAATTAAAAATCCATAAACTTAACACACAATTGTTTCTGTGGCAATATACCAAGAAATTAAATATTAATACACAAAACAATTTCCGTTCAAAAACTTCAAAGAAAATTATCAATTGAGAGACCTAGGCCTAGATGAGAAGATAATATTAGAATTGATCTCGAAAAGTATGATTTTAAAATGTTCTGGATTAAACTAACCGTAGTTATTATTTTCTCGAAAAAATATTCTAATTTCATAAGTGCAGGGACTTCACTAGCTGAGCGACTCACAACGTTTCATAGAAGATTCTGTTCTGTGGAGTTTGTGAATTATATTACTGTTGATGAACCAGTCTTGAAAGTATTTTAAAATCTAGCCGTCGTATAGAATTGCTTCAGGAAACAATTATCCGGTTTCCACAAATTTCCATATCACTAGCGCAAGCAGGATGTTGAAGACTTTTATAACCCACTGACACAGGTGAATCGAAATTTACTCCGAAAAGTACATCTCGCTTCCTGTCTTTGTAATTGAGATTTCTTGTCACTTTGTGACGATGCCTCTAACATAAATAATGCAGAATAGCAACAAAACAAGTCGGCTATATATAAACATACCACCAAGCTCTAAAACCTGCCTGAACTGGTTTTAAAAACGTAGTTTCTTTCTAAAGTTGCTTATAGTTTCATTTAGTTATCTTTTGAAACGGCGTATCTCAGTACAATGATATGGTATGGACTGGGTTCGATTCCCGTTAGATACAGAGACATTTTGTATCTAGTTACGTCCAGACAGTCCCTGAGACTCGAACACAGTACACTACACTAAAGTGTACTAACGATTTCGCAATCGTCCGTCACTGAACCTGTAATGTCATTTGAATTTAGTCCAAATCTACACAACATATTTTCAAATTCGGTTCCGTCTACGCCTAGATCCCCCACGTAATCTTTTACTTTCAGGGTTTCCGACTAAAGTGTTGCACGATTTTTCATATATTCCAGTCGTCAGACCCACAGACACATTCACGCTGATTTGACATCCCTAACATTTGGTGACGAGCACAATTATAAATTTCCTTAAACAATTTTTTCCCGGCCTTTCTCCTACGTGCTTTTTAAAGTCCAATTATTCTCAGCACCACGAAATGAGACGAAAGAAATACGATTTTAAGACGTTAACTACATAACTCGTAATAAATTATACGTACACAAGTTTAATAAAAGCTTTTATGATTTAAACAAGGGATAATATTTGATGTGGATTAATGTAAATTTCATGCTGTTTAACGTCTCACTGTTCCGAATTGAGGGTAATGACAGCAAGTTTTGAAGAAACGCAGAAGCGTCACGATTCACGCTCACAGCAGTCTGCAGCTAGGTCATCCCCCCCCCCCCC